TACTAATGGACAAATATGATTTCCAATTGAAGAAAATTCATTATAAAATTTACAATTATAACTAAATTAATTTCGTATGTTGTATTTTGAAATATTTTAACTAAAAATACAACAAAGACTTGGTCACAACAATCAAAAATATTAACTGATTTGAAACTACAGTCTTGTTGCCTAAATATATTACAAAATATGTCCCAAGACCACAATTCACCAAAAATAGTAAGACACCTCACATTTTTTTAATTCTTGTGAATGTTGCATATTCCTTTTTTGGTCATCCCTAGACAATTCATACATACTATTTTGTTACTTGTTCTCCAAACCTTCCATAGAAAAACTCTATAAATAACCCCCTTGTTAATTTCTTCATTCATTCCTCAATAAATTGAATCTTGCAACACAAAAAAAATAAAAAAAGAATCATTCCGATCTTCTTACATTACATTACGACAATAACTCAATGGACAAACAATACTTAAGTGGAGTGGGCGAGGCCACACCTAGGAGAGAGAAGAAAGTTTTACAGACTGATAGACCCCCGGCTCGAAGGCCACTTCTCGATAAAAGGTGCCCAAAAAGCCGCACAGTTGGCTGCTCGCTGCCTTAGCCGGGACCCAAAAGCCCGACCTCTGATGAGTGAAGTTGTCGAAGCGTTAAAGCCTCTGCCAAACCTCAAGGACATGGCCAGCTCATCATATTACTTCCAGACAATGCAGGCTGACCGTTCAAGTCCCAATGCTAGAAACGGTTTAAGAACGCATGTTGGGTCGTTTTCGAGGAACGGGCAGCAACATCCGAGGAGATTACTCCACACTAGAAGTACCTTAAATTTGTGTAAACTGTAGAAATTTAATGTATAAAGAGAAATAGAGAATTGTATTATTGATTGATATTTATGTTATGGTTACAATGATTCCTATATATAGGAGAGGGTGAGTGTGTAGTAGGTAATGAGTAGGTGAAGTGGAGGTGGTAGTGGTGTAGTGGGTTAGGTTTAGTGGAGTAGGTTTAAGTGGGTGAAGTAGGTGGAGAGTATGTGGATTTAGTGGGTTAGGTTTAGTGGAGTAGGTTTAAGTGGGTGAAGTAGGTGGAGAGTATGTGGATTTAGTGGGTTAGGTTTAGTGGAGTAGGTTTAAGTGGGTGAAGTAGGTGGAGAGTAGGTGAAGTGGAGGTGGTAGTGGTGTGGTGGGTTAGGTTTAGTGGAGTAGGTTTAAGTGGGTGAAGTAGGTGGAGAGTATGTGGATTTAGTGGGTTAGGTTTAGTGGAGTAGGTTTAAGTGGGTGAAGTAGGTGGAGAGTATGTGGATTTAGTGGGTTAGGTTTAGTGGAGTAGGTGAGGTGGTAGTGGTGTAGTGGGTTAGGTTTAGTGGAGTAGGTTTAAGTGGGTGAAGTAGGTGGAGAGTAGGTGGATTTTAACACAAATGAACCCTTTTACCCCCTTCACACCCTTCCCAAAAGAAAATCTCTCATCAACTCAAGCCTCAAGCTTTTGTCCCTTAAAACCTAAGGACATTTAAAAGTAAGAAAATAAAGCAATATATTTTGAAAGACTTTTAATCAAATTCTAATGAATCAATTGACAATCTTCATGTGAATATTCCACCAACCACCTACGTCATGAACGTGGTCATGGACTATGTCTCAAGAAGGCTGAGATCATGAGTTGGAGCCTTCCTTCTATAACATGCCAGCTTATGGGGTTTTCTTGATTTAGTTACAAAGGGGAAAAACAAACATCGTTATGGTGTCATAGTATCTGGCATCAGACATTACACTTTGTATATGTCGATTATCTAGACATTATGGTTGACAGTTGTTCTTGGAACTGCTTTATTTTGAAGTGTCAAAACCAACTTTGATTTCTTTCTTTTTTGCACTCTAATAGATTCTTTTATCTATAACAAAATAAATTATGAATGTAGTGAAAGTTGTTCGTCTTCTGCTAATAATTCTTTATTACTCAGGAAGTTTTTATTCGTATCGTTCTTGTATTTATTTTGCTGTTGTTTGTTAACATTCTTTAATATTGGCAAATTCCTCTTTTATTGTTAGTACTCATTTAAACAACATTTTTAGGAGTTTGGTACTTGGAGAAAGCAGTTTTTAATTTAGAATATGGACAATTGAAGCTGGTATTCCATGCTCTCGAGGAGCGTACACAGGTTATTGAGAATGCTTCACACTTATGCAATGCTTTGCCATGCATGACACCGTGTTTCAACTGGTTTGAGGCAGTGTACTTCTGGATGGGCTTGAAACTGCATGATCTGGTCGCAGGACCACGCCTCCTGCACCTGTCCAGATATTATTCTGCACAAGAGTCTGTTGAACTTTTCTCCACTCTTGCAAGGAAGGGCAAAGATAGAACCTTGAAGGGCACAGTGGTTTAATATGATGGACAAATGAATGACTTGAGAGTTAATGTTGGGCTAGCATGCACTGCTGCATTAGCAGGTGCAGCTGTGCTTAACCATGCTGAAGTCATATCCTTTCTAAAAGATGAAGGTTGCGACCGGATAATCGGTGCTCATATTCGAGACAATCTGACAGGTATGATAAGCACTATGTTTTGGCATATTATTGTCAACATGAAGATTTAAACTTCTAAACTTTGTCTTATTCTTTTTACCACTGTGAAATACAATAAAGTTTCAAGCCTCGAGATTTGCACCATTATGATATTTTGTCACCATTCTGCTTCATGATTTCCAAGTATGTTTCACTCAATCACATTTGACCCTGCCCTATGATCTGTCCAAGCAGTGGTGTACATATCGTGCTACCTGATTACTATTCTCCCAAGGGAATGGGTTTAATCGTTCCCAAAACAAAAGATGGATGTGTTGTCTTCATGTTGCCGTGGTTGGGAAGAACGGTTGCTGGCACTACGGATTCCAGCACCACCATTACAATGCTTCCAGAACCAAATGAGGATGAGATTGAATTTATACTGGATGCCATCTGTGATTACCTTAATGTTAAGGTTTGTGCATTTTTTTCTTTTTGTGTGTGCATGCTCATCTATATCTTGCATGGAATGCTAATTTTCCAAATATTTGTTTTTTGTAAAATTATTTTTTATGGGATTTTTGGTGAAGTTTGTTCTTAATAAAAAATAAAAAAATTTCTGGTGATCTCAATAAATCTTTGTGGAACTATGAAAAACAAAGCCTGAAGATATACCCTATTATCTGGTTGTCTCTGTGTTATCGTACTCTAAATGGAGATGGACCGAAGACTAAGAAGTTTCTTTATTTTTGTTGGTTGAAGTTCAACTTTTGCTATCTGTCTGATATCATTTTCTTGGATGTGAGCCTCAGTTTTTTGCGTCAAGATTATGCTGTGCAGTCCTTACCATTTGGACTATAGGCCCAGCTTTAAATGTTGCTACCTATCTCTTATTTTTAAAGCAAACTCCATGGCATATGTCTTTTGATCCCATAGCATAATGTAGCTTATTGACTGGAATGCTCAAGATATGCATCTCAATTTTTTTATCAAATGAAATGCCCATTGAAACCTCAATATCCACTCTTGATGCTGAAATGTTACTATGTAGAGGATCTTATAGTAGCTTTTTTGCAGTTTGAACCCTTTCAATACTTAAATATCTCCTAGTGATGAAAGTTGATAGATTCTATAAGCATCTCCCTCACCATTTTATATGGCTAAGGCTCCCTAGTCTTTGGAAACATGTTGCACTCACATATTAAACAAATGCCAGCCATTTCTGTGCGGATTTAGCTTAAGACATGTCCTCCTTCATTCTGTTCAATTTGTATGTAATAGGTATGCATTTGAGATAATGTAACCTAAATATTTTGCACCTACATTAACCAAAAGAAAATATTGAAGCATAGCTAAGGATGTATGAAGTATGCAAGAATGTGTTGTCTGACTCTCAGCATCTTTGCATGCGTTTTTGCTGACACTTGTAGGTGTAAATAGTTTTGTAATGCTATCCAAGTGATCCAAATACTGACTGATTTATAGTTTGTCACAGAAGATGAGAATAATATTCTGTGGTTTTTCCAATTTTAGTAGCTCCTTCCCATACTACAGATCTTCTCAAGTCTAGGCATACCTCAAGAAGTTGGGATCTCAAATTTATGACTTAACTTGCTTATTTGGTCTGGTTGCCTTCCAGGTCTGTGGACCAATTAGTTTTTTTGTATTGGTGGATATTTGCCAATACAATCATGCTGTTAAGAAGCAATAATGGTTGATGTTTTAAATATTTTTCATATACATGTCAAGACATCATCACAAATTCATTAGTTTCTTACTTCAATTTTGTTTTCTTAGGGAGGCTTTAGTTTTATTCTGGTCCATTTATGTTGATGTGACTCAACCTAGGTGTCATCTATTTTGTTTAATTATTCAGTTTTTAGTGGATACTGAAAATATACCAGGACAATTTAGGTATGGCGTGTAGATGTTCTTTCTGCATGGAGTGGTATTTGCCCATTGGCAACAGATCCTAGAGCAAAGAACACTGAGAGCATTTCCAGGGATCATGTTGTATGCGAAGATTACCCCGGTTTAGTCACGATTACTGGTGGAAAGTGGACTACATATAGAAGGTACATTTTATATTGGCTGATCTAGGTTTCCCTATAAGTTGTTGAATTTGTATCAGTTTTTGGAAATTGAAACTTGTATGCACTGGGATCTTCTTTTTTATGCTTTTGTACAATCATGTCCCTGAATTTAGTTAAATACTCATTGTGCTAGCACTTCTAGTTCTATGCTCCTTCTTTATGGCTTATTTGTAGCAGATATAACAACTTGTTATGTTACCTTCATTTATAGTGAAATCAATATTAGAAGTGTGAAGCAACTTTTTCCTGTCAGTCTATTCTAATGAAACTTATGTTTTCTTTACATGAGTAAGCATGGGAAACATAATTAGTAAGTATAACTATCTTCCATTAAAATTATTGTCTAATGATTGAACAAATTGATCTTGTGGTTTACATTCACTTTCACTCTGTTCCAGGTCATACACATGTTGCGTTGAATGTTTGAGGAGCTGGATCAGCTTGCCCTTTTGATAAGAAAATTCTTCTTCTTCTTCTTTTAATAGCCAGCTAGGTGATTATTGACACCTTACGGTTATTGCATACACATACATCTTTGGAAAGATGTTTGATTCTCTTAAACTTGATAAGTAGCAATCAGTTATAACAATAATAATGCTATTCTTTAACAATTGATGGCTGCTGAATGCTTCAGAGCTCTGGTGCAAGGTGCTTTAGATTGGTGAGAATTCTACATACATGCACACTCAAAAAAACAATGTGTTTACTGGTTTATATTTCATATGGTTGAATAGTTGATCATCTTTTGTAAATTTATGGAACAGGTTTTTTGTGATTTATATTTCCTTTCTTTCGTAACATAAGGTTGTGTTTGGATCTTGATTTGTGAAGGAAAAAGATTCCCTTAACTTGTAGGATTCTTTCTTCTGTAACTTTGCAAAGTGAATTTTACCATTGTTTTTTTTTTTTTTTAGTCATGCAAATAAAGTGGGGTTCTTTCCCACATCCCTACCAAGGAAATGTTGGTTAACATCAACTACTTTTTAGTTATGTTACTCCATTTTTTCTTCCCTAAATTGACATGGTGATCTCAATGTGAACCGCTATGACATTTGAATTTATTTTCTATTAAATGATTTCCCTCTTGTGCCTATGAATTTATAAGCTAACTCATTCTCAATCTTTAATCTCATTGTGCAGGTTTTTTTTATTTTTTATTTTATTTTTTTAGGATTAAAAGTGGATTCACTCGAATATCTCCTGATATGCAAATAGAGATTTTTTTTTTTTAAACTAAACAAAATCAAGCCTTATCACTCTAGATGGACATTTTGTAGTGTAAAATTTTCTTGTTCGCGTACAGTTTTCCTTAATTGCACCATCCTTCATCAGCATCATATAATATAAATCTACTTTAGATGATGCTATAATCTTCCTACATAAGGTAATCAAACACTATTAAATACAAATTATAATCAACAATGGCTCAAAATGACAGGACAAACTAATGGCAAACAAACATTTCTAACCCAAAGGAAACCAATTTCCTTACACGAGCTTTCTGATGTTATATGCAACATTAGTTGTAATTATTAGTTTCACCAAACTTCATTAAAAAAAAATAAAGAAAAGAAGAAGCAGAGCACATGAGATCAAACTGGATTTATTTAAAGATTAATGACAACACCAGTATAATGTCTGAAAGAGGAACAAACATGAATAAAGTTCCCCAAGAGAAAAGACAACATGAAGACATGATGCTTTTAACCATCTCCAAGAAACTAAGCTCTGTGCTCAACATAGGAACCTGAAAGTCCAGAAGTCCCCAGAACTGTAACCTGCAATCAGAACAGAAACTGATTCAATAATTAAACAAACTTTATATTCTTCACAATATTGCACAAAAGAATGGTTACAGGCATGAGTTGCAAAATTAAGGATAGCTGATATTCATTTGGTGTAATTAGCGGTCAAGACATTGTCACACCATACCTGCATTTAAGGATCTAGACCAATTTCATAAAAAGGGCAGCCCAGTACACAAGGTTCCTGCTAAAGCGGGATCTCAAAAGGGCAAGATGTACACAACCTTACCCCATTTTCAGAGAGACTATTCTGTGACTAGAATCCATAGCATCAAGAACGCTAATGGTAAGCATTACCGTTGGGCAAAGCTACCCTTTCATCTAGACCAATCTCATGTACAACCAAAAAAAGGGAGCAGCTCAAGGCTACTGACTTATTTCAGTATGTAAAGTTTTTTAAGACAGCACAAAACTATTTAAGGAAGGGGTTTTCCCACAAAACAAATTATCTGAGTTTCCTGAAAAGATTAATCTTCATCTAAACTTGCCCAAACTCAACATAAACCCAAACTAACACTATACACTATTGCATACGTGCAATTATGTACAGATCACGCAAGTTAAAAGACAAGCTGACTGTAAACACAATTTGATGTATACTTTAGTGTGCTTTCATGTCTCTTTCAAAAGAACTATAGTAATTGGTTAGGTGCCCACAATATGTAGCACCTTAAATCTCACACACCAAGCAAAATAGGCTCTCATAAAACTTCCATATTGTGGTATGGCTAGACTAGAGTGCTCTAAATAAACATAGTGACAAGAAAGCAATGTGCAAAAACTACAATACCTTTCCCCACTCAGAACCAATACCACTGCACCTCATCTTTAAGTGTATCATTTTCGTTCCAAGCTCAGTCTCAACTTTCTTACGCAAATAGGTCTCTTCTGGCCCAAAAGCATCCAAATATGCAGTATATCTTTGATAGACTGTACGCAATGCGTTCACAAATTCCTCCGGCAAGGGTTTTACATCCTACAATAAGTAGCAAAATTTTAAATCATTAGACCACAAGAACTTGAGAGACAAAAAAAAAAATAAAGAAAAAAAAAGTCATCCTTCCCATATAATTTATGTCACCTCGCCACCCATTCCAGTGCTGTCATCAATTGCCATCCTCAAAGACACGAGCATTCCGCTAAACTCCCCGACTGCCTCAGCTGCACGGAAAACATTTGCCACAGCTTCTTGGGCAGCCTTGTCGTCTGTATTTTTAGACAAAGCCTTATTTGCATCACTGATGAGTGTATCTGGAAGCTCATCCCAACTTGCAGCCATTAAGTCCTTAAAAACAAATAGAATTTCAGGGTCTTTTATGTCAGGAAAGTGGGTCACATCTTCACTAAAAAAGCGTGTACTTCCAATGGCCATTGTGAAAGGAGGCCGGCAATCTGTATGTCACAATATGAGACCATAATTCAGAAAAGGGAAGCTGAATATGAAAATAACATATGAGCAAAGATGTACAGAAACTAGCAGTGAGGCAGCATAGGAATGCACATGAACCAATAATAAGATGTTATTTGGTTTATCAAAGAACTCTCTCTCACTACTTATCCTCTCAGCTTCAACCATGGAACCAGTGCGACCATAAAACATTAATACTAGGGTGTGTTACGCTATGGAACGCGCGTTTTGAAATCCGGAATACTTTTCAAAAAATGATAACTTTAGTTAGTGATCCAAAGTGATTCTATTTTTTTAATATTCTTTTTCTTAAATTTTTTCCTTTCATTGAGGCATCTTCCTAAATTTGCAAGCATATAAAAATGTAAAATAGGATGACAAAATACAAATATAAAAGACTAGATATAAATGAATTAGATGAAAAACATTTAAAAAAAAAAAAAGCAAGCTGATGGAATGTTTGGGTGATGGATGATACAAAAATAAAAGAAAACAAAAAAGAGGAATAGTGGACATCAAATTAGAGTACACTAATAGGTCAACAAGGCATATAATCAAACAGGTGAAGCACTTAAAAGAATTGCACATTCAATTTCATAAATACATAAATTATTGCCCTTAAAAGAAGAAAAATATGTGTAAGTATTCAGATCAGTCTCAATCAACAAAGCACCTGTTCAGATATATAGGTAAAAGCAGAAAGATGAGGAAGAGAGTGAGAAAGTACCGGAAGGGATGGTTTTGGAAGAAAATTGAAAGGGGGGAGGAGGAGGGGAGAGATGGAAATAGCAGAGGCCTTGTGGGAGGTGTTAACGGTGGTTGACGGTGGCAGAAGAGAAACAGAGAGATGTGAAGCAGATCGAGCGGTACAACGACCTCATCATCGCCATTTTCTCTCTCGATTTCTCACTGGAATTTGGAGCTTCTTTTCGAGTAGAGTTTTCCACGGGGGCTTTTGTATTTGTTTGTGCAAATGGGCAGTTCGGGCCAACCCGTATGGACCAGACCCCACACGGTGTGTGTGTTTCGTAGATGAGTTGAGTTTGGACAAGTGTCTAGAAACTAATGGGCTTATGTCCGCCTTTTAAAAGCTGTGTTTAGCTGAGCTTGGTAACCTCTAAGCCTCACTATATCTGTATATCAGGCCCGACCAAAAACACACACACACATATATATATATCTATATATATTTGATTTCAATTTTATTACGAAAAATACTAATAATATTTATATTTTAATTATTTTTGAGTGAGAAATTATGTACAGGACCCATGACTTCTCTCACAAGAAATGGAATCCACCTTACTGTTCACTTACGCTGTGTTTGGTTGGGAGATTTAGGGAGGACTCTAGAAAGGGAAAGGGAAAGGGAAAATGTGAAATTTTACATTTCACCTACCTTTTCCATTTCACTTTCCATATCCCTCATCAAATCCCCCAACCAAACACAGTATTAGAGAAAACCTCAATTCTTTATTTTTTTCTCACTCAATTTATTTACAAAAGAGCTATTATATATTATTTAATTATTTCATCAATTTTTTATTTTTTATTTATTATGTTGCTTCTTATGCTATGTGATACATCTCAATATTTTTCTAAAAAAATATGATAAATTTTACGTAGGATGTTTTTCTCACCCATCAATTATTTGAATCGCGACTTCTTATTCAGTCCATTATAAATCTATTAATTTAAACAGTTTATTTTTAATGACTTTAATAGATTATTTATTTAAAAATTAAATTTATCATAGATGAATAATGACATGTTCAAATCATATTTACTTTTAAAAATGTATATTAGAAATAAACTACCTAATTTAAAAAAAAAAAGAAAATTATGATTTAAACAAACTCTGATATTGCGCCCACAAAACCATGAATCAAGTGGACTTAAAATGGACCACTAGGGTGGTGATAGCATGGATAACGCACCAGCCTTTTACACATACGAGCACGGTTCAATTCCTGAGGGACATGAACTTTGCAAGATAAATGTACTGTACTTTGATTGTAACTTTGCCTCTTGTTGTGAGAGTTGAGCGACGTCCATTGTTATCCCAGTAGTAAATTTTTTCCTATGGATTGGGTTAAATCTGGTTGTCAACTAGCTATCCCAGAGTCAAGGCTTACGGATGCTATGATGTCCTATAGAATGTCTTTTTTCTGATATAAAAAGAAAAAGGTTCATTTGGGAAGAACTTTTTGAGCCTAACTTTTTAGTTTTTTTAGCTAATTTAACCTAGTTCCGTTTAGGAAGAATTTTTGACTTTTTTTTTTTTTTTTTGGGTGAGAAAAAAATGAAATGATTATGATTTGAATTTGATATTTTATCGTATTAAGTTATTTAGATTATTTTGTCTTATTAAGTTATTTAGATTATTTTCACATATAACATGCCCTAACATGTAATGGAAATACTAATATCTAGGATATCACAAAAGGCGAGTACATAGACTGACCTTGAAACACTAAAAATTAATCATTATTGCTATAAAAAAGCTCATTGTATTTTGCTACATTTATGAAGGTTTGTACAGATGGAACATGGATGCAAGGAAATAAACAAAAATCTATCCATATGCCCTTTGGATTTTGCTGAAGCATTCAGACTAGTGATCACCACCATGAAGGTCAAAATGAAAACAAAGATAACATTAGTAGAAAACACAAAAATAACTGCACTGAAAGCATTGGCTTATCAAGGACAGGAGAGGCTGACGAGAATTTATTTTCCAACTCCAAACAATAGTGTTACGCTAATAATCATTCGCACATTTTATGTTTTTGTGATTCTACAACCAGGTTTCAGTTCTCATTGTGAGACTTGGTTAAAAAAAAAAACTCATTTAATTTATAGGGAATTTTATTGAAGCAGAGTATATCTCAGTTGTTTGCATTCTGTTTCTGTTGGTTTCTATGAAGATTTATCTTTATTTAATGAAACAGGCTCTGCGAGGACATCACTTATTGTAACAATTGGGCCGTCTACTCGACATCATGTTGAAACCTCAAGCACCATAATGTTTGGACAACGGGTGAGTTAGATAAAGCACTTCATCTTTCAAATATAACCTTTACACATTATTTCATGTCTTTGTTCACTTACTCTCTTTGCATCTTGTTGACATTCTCTTGATTTTGAGCTTTCAAATAGTGTGATACTTACAACTTAATGTTTGGTATTATCTGTTTTTAACATAAAACTTTACATCCTCCAGGTTTCTTGTTGTTTCCATCTGTTTGACATTCACATGTTTTCTATTTATTTGACCTCTCAATCCAGTGCTACATGTGTATGTTGCCACTGACTGTCTGGTGTTGCTAATTTTGAGAGTGGACAGAGGACAATGTCATCTGCTGTGTTGTTATTGGTCTAATTCTCTTTGGAGAGGAAAGTGTGTTTGGAAGGGGAATATGCATTGCATTGCCAAGGTTGTTAATGATTATCGTGTTTTGCAGTCAAGAAACTTCATTTGAGTTGCTATTTGGGAAATAGATTAGAGAACCAGGCAACTTAAGATACTTAACAAGGTACTTAAACAAGGGGAGACCTTCCTAGGGTGGGAAGTGGAATGGAAAACTCGAAAAAAAATGGAAGCAAAAAAATTTGGTAACAAATCATGGGAAATAGGAAACTAACTAAAATTTGATACTAAATGGCATAGAAAAACTTCCAGAGAAAAGTCTGACAAAATTGATATGAAACATTGTAAATAATGTAAATTGTGAACTGTAAGGAATAACTAAGAATTATTTTTTACTATTGAGAAGAGGTGTTGGAAGCATAAAAACTAGAAATATAAGGAAATGTGTTCCTCATAAGTTTCTTCTGTGTTTCCAAATAGCTTCTGAAAGTTTCCTACAAGATTTTCAAAATTCCCAAAACCTTCCTTAATCATTCTGATAAAAGTTAAGAAAAGTCCTTAATTTCTAAAACAAGATAGGAGGAAAAAGGTTTTTTCCCTTGAAACTAAGGCTTCTCTGCAACTTTGATTGAAGCTTTCTCATTGTGGAGGCCAAAATAAATTCAGTTTTGGAGGCCAGAGTTCATTCTACAGCAATAGAGCCTATTTATCAGCTGTAGACAAGCCTAAAACTCATGGAAACATTTTCGAATCAATCCTACCTAACATTGATGCTGATACCTAATAAGATTCAAACCCTATCACTAAAGCTATTAAAATGTCCTTAAAGAAATAAGAAAACAACAACATTAATTGAAAGAATCCTAACAAGACTAACTTCTTTAGTCATCAATGTATCATCTTTTCATGGGTTCCATATCAATTGAGATGCATCAAGCAGCCTCTTTTCTTTTTTCTCCCCCTCTATGTTTTATGGCTAAAAAGGTCCATTGGTTGGTGATGCAATGGTAAGTAGTCTTTCAAATGTATGACATCTACAATCAAATCATAAAGAACTTAGAATGTAGTTTTAAATGTTTGTTATGGATATTTTTCTTTTGAACAACTTTGTAGAATAGTTGTCTTAATCACGACAGCTTAATGTTTATTGCTTTTGCAGGCCATGAAAGTTGTAAACGTGTTAAAGCTTAAGGAAGAATTTGATTATGAAAGTTTTTGTCGGAAGCTTGAGAATCAGGTGGAGCATCTAACTGTGGAGATTGATAGACAACAAAAGTTGAGGGACAATGACAGAGTTGAAATGGAAAAAAACATCAGAGAGTGTCAAAAATCATTTGCTGAAGCTGAAAAGAGTTTAGTTACAATGTCTGAGGTAGTTGTCTCTCCTGCTGGTATATGTTTTAGAGTTTGGATTTGATGATATTATGGCTGTGTTTCAGTTCAAACTTTCCCACTTCCAGCATATTCATTTTATTTGGAGCTATTGGTGCTCTAGTTTTGTCCTTTTTAGGTGTGTGCGTGCATGTGCGTATGGCAATATGTTCTGTCCACCAGCATTCTTTGTTTATTTTTCATATTACTTTCTCTAAATATGTTGCACTTGTTTGCAGTTTCTAGCAAAAGAGAATGTCGTCTGGAAATAAAGACGAAGGGTATATTAGATGAACTGAAGCGTCTAAAAGATCATAATGATTTTATGCATGATGAAATTGAACGCTTAGAAATGAGTCTAAAACACAGCAAGGTATATGAAACACACAGTTTCTTGTTTTTCTTTTCTTCTTTTTTCCTCCCCTTTTTATTCTCTGTATATTCTAGTCTTCTAGTAAACTATGAACTAGCCCCACACTCCCAATTTGAGTACACTTCGGTGGTTAGGTGTTTCAAATCCTTTTTATACAGTTCTCTCTTACTGCCCAGTTAAATTACTAGAAGAAAAGTAAACTTATGATCAATTTCATCTATATGGTAGTCAAGACCTTTGCTATGTGCTGGTTTTCTTATTGTTTCCTAGTTTTAAATTGTATTTGTTCCTTGGATCTAAAGTTTTGGCTTTACAGTTTAGAAAACAATTTATTTTTGGTTACTAATACTTGGGTCTACATGTGCACAAACACTAACTGTGCTGGTTTGTCTGCTAGTAGCAATACCAGCTTGACAGTTCTATGTATCAGAAAGCACTTGCAGATACCACCCAGATGTATGAGAAGAAGATAGCAGAGTTGATGAAGCAATTAGAGGAGCAACAGGCTCGCTCTGAAAGTGCTGAAGAACAGTTAGATGTGATGAAGAAGTTGCTAAGTGATCATCAAAAGTCAATGCAGGTTAACCATCTCATTAAATATGGAAAGGACAACGTTCCTCTTAGACCTCTAATTCTAATAATCAATTTATAATGAGTCTTCATTGGTCTTTTTAATCTTGTAAAAAGATTAAAGCAGTGATTTATTGGTACTTTAAAGCTCCAAATCAAAATTTACCGCAAGAATTGTTTATATGCTGAAGAACAGATAGATTTAAGCCATGTCAGTGGTAAAATTTTAAAAGCAGTTTCAAATTTTTGTTGCTCCTAGAATCCTAGTTTCAGCTAACAAGAGACTTTAGTTCTGATGTTTTTGTTTCTCTCCCCTCTCTCTCTCTCTCCCACCAGCAATATCAAAAGGAAAATTTTACATATCAGAAGGCTCTTTCAAACACCATTCAAATGTATGAGAAGAAAATAGCATAATTAAAACAGGAACTAGATGATGGGCATGTCCGTTTTAAAGGTGTAGAAGAAGAATTGGATATGACGAAGATGCAATTAAGAGATCATCAAAACTCAAACCAGGTCAAGTGTATTAAAATATGTGAAAAATGTATTAAAAAAAGAAGAAGAATATGTGTAAGTATTCAGATCCGTCTCAATCAACAAAGCACCTGTTCAGATATATAGGTAAAAGCAGAAAGATGAGGAAGAGAGTGAGAAAGTACCGGAAGGGATGGTTTTAGAAGAAAATGGAAAGGGGGGAGGAGGAGGGGAGAGATGGAAATAGCAGAGGCCCTGTTGGAGGTGTTGACGGTGGTTGACGGCAGCGGAAGAGGAACAGAGAGATTTGTGTGAAGCAGATCGAGCGGTACAACGACCTCATCATCGCCATTTTCTCTCTCGATTTCTCACTGGAATTTGGAGGTTCGAGTTTTCCACGGGGGTTTTTGTATTTGTTTGTGTAAATGGGCAGTTCGGGCCTGTATGGACTAGACTCCACATACTGTGTGTGTTTTGTAGATAGAGTTGAGTTTGGACAAGTATCTAGAAACTAATGGGCTTATGTTCGCCTTGTAAAAGCTGGTTTTAGTTGAGCTTGGTAACATCTGAGCCTCACTATATTTGTATATCAGGCCTGACCCAAAATATATATATATATATATATATATTTGATTTCAATTTTTATTACGAAAAATAGTGATAATATTTCTATTCTAATTATTTTTGAGTGAGAAATTATCTACAGGACCCATGACTTCTCTCACAAGAAATGGAGCCCACCTTAGAGCATCTTCAATGGTGTGCCATTGGAGCTGCTATTGCCAAATTATGGCAGCAATTGATAGAAAGGCACCTCCAATGGCAAGTTTTAGCAGCTGTTATCTTTGGCAAATGCCAAAGCTTGTGTCAAATATGACACAAGCTTTTTTGCCACAAGCTTTGGCAGCTGCCAAAGCTGCCAAGTCACCAAAACCAACCGTTTCCTCCCTCCCTCCCAGCAAAACAGAGATTGGGTGAAACTGCCTTTTTTTTTGAATTTTTTGTAAAACCAAATTCAACATTTTTTTTTTTCTAAAACAGAAATTGTTTATATCATATTTAAAAATTAAAAATTAAAAAAAATTAAAAAGAAAAAAAGAAATTGTGTAAAAACAGCCAAACCCTTCAAAAAAAAAAATAAAATAAAACATTTTACAAAAAAATAAATAAAATAAACATAATCAGACAACAACAACAACAAACAATCAACAAATTTCAACAAGTAATTTCAAACAAATTTATAGAGCAATCAAGCAATTTCAAACGAATTTTAAACAATAAATACCTGGATCTTTGTGATCTGCGATCCGTGAAATGGTGGAGAATGATCTGCGTTCTTGGTTTCCATCTTCCTTTTCAGCTTGTTTGTGATATGCGAAGAGGGGTTGGGGTTTGTGACCCGGGGAGAGAGAGAAAAGAAAAGGGGTTTGTGTTCGATCTGCAATTTTCGGAAAGAAACGGTGGGTTTTGGGAAAGAGACGGTGGGTTCTGGGGAAGAGATGGTGGAGAGAGAGAAGCTGCTTCACCTTCGCCATCAAAGGAGGGAGAGAGAGAAAGAGAGAGAGAGACGCTGCTTTGGGTTTTAGAAGAGAGAAAATGAGGGGCGTCGGTGGCGAGGTTCTAGAAATGAGAGAGTGATAAGAGAGACGTAGTGAGGTTCTGATAAATGATGTAGAGCTTTGGGTTCGTGTCTAGGTGAAGACAAGTTGAGTTTTAATTGCTGCATTCAGCCCGGGAGCAGTTGATAAGGGAATTCAAGGAGGGAAGTTTATCGGGCCAATAGCTAAATTGTGTGGTGGCATGCCTAATTTTGCTCCGTTACTTAGTTGGTAGAAAACTTGGGAATTTGGCGAATGCCTTTGAGAAAGCTCGAGCAGAGCTTGTTTCTATTTTGTTTGAAAAAGCAAAGTGAGAATCATCTTTGCTTCCTCTCAAGTTTACCACAAAAATTATTAGGTTGTGAAGCTTCAAATGGATTCCATTTATGCAACTGCTTGGGCAATTGCACTTTTATTATCACATCTCAACATGGCAATAGCATACAACAAATTTTTTTTTTTTCTTTTTTTTTTGGTTGGAGAGGGGTGGAAGATAAAAATTGTCTAGTGCATCTCATCAACAATATTACGGACACAGAACCAATCACAGAATTGACTACATAAAAACAATCTTGGTCATACACAGGCCATCATAAAAGATATATAATTTTACTTAGATTGCTCCACCTATGCTTTATGTGGTTGATTTGTATCTATAGACTTATTCATACTTTATAGCATTGGTTTATTTAGTCAGACTTTTGTTTTTTTTTTTTTTTTTTGGGTTTTTTTTTTTTTTTTTTGTGAGCTGGCTTTGTGAACCAATTCCACATATTTATCAAAATTTCAAACCTCAGAATCGGGATCTTGTCTTGGTGGTAGTTGTTTTTTAATTTTCGTGCCATTATTCTTTTCTTTTTGTGTTGTTTTTCTTTTTTCATTTTTCACTTTGATCTTTAAATTTTTTTTCTCCACTTTAACCCTTCACATTTCAATTTTCTTTCAATTTACTCTAAAAGCTGACTTCTATCCAAAATTAGGCAAAAAAATGTCAGGCTGGCTACCACATGGCATGAACTATAATAATATATTTTCTTATGCCATCTTACGGCTAATGTGATATAATCTATTTAGATTTGAATAAAAGATAGTTCTAAGAGTTAATTAGAAGAAGAAGAAGAAAAAAACTTAAAATCCGAAGAGTCAAAGTGAGAAAAAGAAAATTAAAAACCAAAAAAAAAAAACAAAAACAAAAACAAAAACAAAACAAAGCATGAAAAGGTAAACTGTACTCTTTTTATTTTGTTTTGTTTTTGTGAGGTGGTTATGGGATAATGAAATTCACTTCTTTCTACTCCTAGTTTATACTTAATGTTGGTGATAATTACAAATAAAACATTGAAAAATACAAATAATAAAAATTACAATAACTAGTGTAAGGGCTAAGGCGCGAAAAAATCGCTCTCTTTAAAGAGATTCAAGCCCTCTGCGATTAGGCAAAGCCTTACACCGATGCAGTAGAAAAAACCTTGACTTGTCCCCCTCAGGATACAACAATCTGACTAAGTCGTATGATTCACTAATATTGCACAACTGGTTGAACCCAAAGCTTTATCACATACACCTTTTTTATTTGCCTAATAATCTTACACAAAACATAATAAAGTAACAAAAACTTCTTCTCTCTTCCAAGATAAAAAGTTAGATCAATTTATAAGAGATGAAAGCTTGGTGGACAAGTTTCTTAGAGGAGGATTCTTGGAAGTTGTTTGGAGGCTCCTTGGAAGTAGCTTGGAGGATAAGACTTGACTTTTGGAAGACTTAGAAGAAGACTTGACTAGGCAAAGACTTGGAAGACTTGAAGGATTCTTGTATACCAAGAAAGGATTAACTTGGAGAAAAAGAAAACAAATCAAACCAATAACACATTATAATATTAAAATATCTGCTAATATTTCCCTACCTATTTTAATATTATAGGTAACAAAATCTGAGATTATTAGGCAAATAAGAATATTATGCATCATGGTAGGTGTGCTCTGCATTGAACCTCCATTAGTGAAACAATAATATCTACTCCAGAGCCAATAGTATGCTCAGCATTGAACTATGACTGCTTAAGGGAAATAAATAATTATTGCACACACATAATATTCCAGGTGTTCACATAAGCTTTAAAAGCCAGCACATTACGGCCTTGTGCGATTCCAGGATTCATTAGTGTGTTTGAGAATTAGCCCAAATCTCATAGGTAGTGGCCCCACTATAACACTCATAGGTGAATTCTGTCAAGGATGCTCCTGTAACTATGACACCCCACTCAATAAGAGCAACAGAAATTCATTAAGAGTTTTTTAATAACTCAACATCTACAACGTTACAGGATAAATGCACTTACATCATAGGGATGGGTAAAAAGTAATTTAGTCCATTTCTTACGGCCATCATATGATCGTTTTTCTCATTGAACCCAGTTACAGGATCTCTGGTCCCTGGGTTGAGTATCCT